TTATAATCTTATGAAAGAGTGATGGTAGCTAGAGTGTCACAATATTTCCGTAGCAGTTTAAGACTGGTCCCTGATATTATATACAAGGAGCAGAGGTAAACCTTTTTCCTCCTCCTATATTTTGTGTGTCTATGTGTTTTGGGGCCTGAGAGGGAGACAAAAAGTGAGAAGGAGAGAGAGAGAGAAAAGAAAAGAGGAGGAGAAGGAGAAGAAGGGGAGAGGGAGGAGGTTCTTGTAAAGGATCCCACATTCTCCTGCCACCTGCACTTGCAAATCTTTCCATTTATTCTTCTGTTCTTCCAGCTGGAGGTGTCAATGGTTTCTACCCAGAGACCACAGTGATCATACCTGCAATCAAACAGTTTGGGTTTGTTGCTTATGGCAACAAGGAGAACCCTCACCCAGGGGAACCATGGGAGAGTCTCATTACAAAGGTGTTAAGGATGACTTGTCATAGGATTATAGGTTGAGTTAGCTGTTTTGCGTGGGGGGTTCAAGGAAATGGAAAATTGCTTGGGATTAAATGCTGCCAGGAGGTGAGGGTAACTGGTTAAGTATCTTTGTAAGTATTATTTAGAAGGATGGAGGAATAAAAGAAGGCTAAATCTGTATTTGATTTAAAAAGTCAGTTGTTATTCGTATTAGCCAGGAGAGGACTTGGTATTTTTGTGGTTTGCACAGTATCCTTGCTTTTGTCTGTGCTTAAACCAGTCTGTAAAGTACTTTTGGGGTTTGTTTGTTTTGGGGGGTTCTTTTTTGGTCCCAGTTCGTTGTAGTGACAGAGTGACCTTATCTAATATTGATGTTCTATGAGCTTGTTATGCTCAGTGGGAGAACACCAAGGCCTAGCTCCGGACGCCCACCAGCATCTCACACCACCAAGGCCTCCCTGAGAGTACCAGGCCACTGGCCCCTAGCTCTTAGGGGCTGCTTTTCTCTTTCTCATAGTTAATTGTTTAACATGAGCAAAACAATAAGGGGACCACCTGTCGTGCAGGCCGAGAAGAGTGTGGGGTTTGGAATCCGCTCACCAGCTGGATACTTCCTTGGGTGATTTGTTTTTCCTCTTGAGGTTTATTTTCTCCATATTTAAAATGAGAATAACAGTAGTAATGTTGCAGATTAAATGACATGATGCATATAAAGCACGCAGTACCTGTTATGAATAATAGTCACTAAAACTGTTATTATTTTATTATTATTATACCAACAACATATCCCTTCCCCTACATTCAAAAGTTGGGAGTGGTGGGAGTCGTGTACTAGAATTAGCATTTAGTTACCTTATACCATGAATCAGAAAAAATACAAATTCGGCAATTCCTCCTTTTCTTCCCCTCTTTCACCATGATGTGGCCTTGGAAAGGGGCTCACTTCTCATCAGACATTAACGTGGAAGGAGCTGTAGATTTAAAAGAAAAATAGAATCCAATTTAAAAATTATCCTTTTTATTATGTAGAGTTAGGTGAAATGAATTAAATGGGTCTTTCATTATTTAATTTGAGCAATAAATCCCAGTGACAGGTAATAAAAGTCTCCTCATCATAGGCGAGCGCTGTCTGTTACGAATGAGGCTCAAGAGTAGCTTTCTGAAGTTCCCCCGCAAACAGAGCACAACTTCGTAACCCGCAAGCTGGGCAAATGGGTGCATTTAACTGTGTCACACCGCAGAATGGCTGTCCTGACAGGCTTGTCTGTGTAGCTTTGCTTCCACCATTTGTCCTAGGGTTCTATCCGTCCGTTTTTTTTTTTTTTTTTAATAATTTTCTTTTTCTTAATAATTATTTTTTATTTTAATAACTTTATTTTATTTTACTTTACCTTCCTTCCTCCCTCCCTCCCTCCCTCCCGCCCTCCCTCCCTCCCTCCCTTCCTTCCCTCCTTTAGACGACAAATCATCCCAAATTGAGGAGGTGGACTTTGAGGGCAAGATTTATGATTTTTGTTCTTAACTTGTTCAGACTTGTGTTCTTAATCTAAATTAGCTTCTGTATTGACAGAAGATGTCCCCAAGCCTTTGACTTTATCCTGCTGCAGCTACCCAGCAGCTACCTGGAGCACTGCTACTCAGAGTGTGCTCCTTGGAATATACTGGTTCACTGAAATACTTATTACCAAGATAAGTACAAAAATTGAGAGCAGTCTCCTAGAAACCGTTATAGCAAGAAGGTATTGCCACACCTTCTAAGCATATGGTCAGTGGGCTTGCATTTTATATATCTTCTTTCTTTAATGTTTCAGTCATTCATTTTTATTGAATTTTATAAAAGTATCAATCTGCAGTAGATCAGAAAAGAAAATGTCCATAACCGCAGGTAGTTTATGAGCACCGTCCCAGGCCAATGGAAAGCCTAAGATGAGATAACAGAAGCAGAGCCTTGTATCCAGGCACATCCGAGCTTTGAGGAAGAGATGGTGGGAGACGCAGGGTGGGGTGAGGAGGGTGGGAAGTGTTCGTCCGTGTGACGCAAAACTCAGTACAAGGATTTTCGCTCTAAATGTATCCTCTTAAAGGAAGCACAGGATGACAAATGTGGGACATTTGATTTATTTTAGTCCAGTCTCATATCGTCAGGGATTATATAACTCTCTTCAGCCGTCTATTTCAGAGTCCACTCTTAGAAAATGTGTCTAAAAGTATCTAGCCTACATTCTTCGTTTTTCAGTTTTTAGGTCTTTCTCATTATCTTTCACAAACCAAATCAGAATTGGATCTTTGGAAATCTTTTTTGCTTCATGGATATAATTTAAAAATAAGCTTTGGTGCCCAGGATGGAATTTGTGTTACACTAAATGCATACAGGGCAAAGAGCTTCGGCATCTAATGGAGCTTCCATGCATTTTCTGTCTGAAAGCTTGTGGTCAAAAATAGCTGGAGGGCTTCCCTGGTGGCGCAGTGGTTGAGAGTCCGCCTGCCGATGCAGGCGACACGGGTTCGTGCCCCGGTCTAGGAAGATCCCACATGCCGCGGAGTGGCTGGGCCCGTGAGCCATGGCCACTGGGCCTGCACGTCCGGAGCTTGTGCTCCGCAGCGGGAGAGGCCACAACAGTGAGAGGCCTGCATACAGCAAAAAAAGAAAAAGAAAAATAGGTGGAGAAATAAAGAAATTGCACATAATATCAGGAAAGAGGCCCATGACTTTTAGATTTAATAGCGTACTTATATTTTTGCTCAGTAATTTGATCTGCAAAATCATACAGAGTTGACTATTCGGTGGATGTAAACCTTACTGGTTTGCCTACAATAGAGAGACTTAGATTCCGCCTGTCTGCTGAGTATTCAAAACAGAACCTTTGTAGACTTAATTCCCTTTAAGAGGGAAAGGCTCCACCATCTCCTGGATTCATGACACTGGGACTGCCTTAGGAGGGACTAGTGACTGTTTCTATAGGTGATAAGAAAACCTTGATTTTTGATTATAGCAATTTTTTATTATATATATAAACTTGGAAAATACAGAAAAATTATAAAGAGAAGTAAAAACAACCACAGTTTTCTTTTATGCAAAAATTACTGTTTATATGTAGAGATATTTCCTTTCAGCCCTTTCCCATATTTATATAAAATTAGGAATATAATAAGAATTGTATGTATAGAGTCGATTCTCAATACTTGCAATAGTTATGTTCTCTGAAGTTGCTGTGAACATGGAATTAGCAAATACTAAACCATTGTTCCCAGGGGAAATACAGGGTTAGGTTCCTGTGAGCCTGTGGTGGCAACATTTTTGTCTACCTATCAACAGAACCTTGTATGTATGATTGTGTTTGAAGACACGTTCTTTAGTATTTATTATTGATTCACCAACATTGAACTCGTGACCTACAGCACTCTAACTCATGCCTGAATGAAGTTTATCCATCACATTTATTTTCTCCATAAGGCAAATCATAGCATTCTTGCACTTAAGAACACTAGACAGCCCTTCATCACTGTGCCAGGGGGCCTTTTAAACAGCAAAGTCACCAACAAAAAACACAAAAATGTGAAGACAGCTTTACATGTGAGAGCTGAAAGAAGAAGTTTTGCCTTACTTGACCTCAGCTAGAAGCATGCATGTCAGTCAACTCAAATTTTTCTCTGCTCTGTGCATTTCTGTGCCTGACCCCAAAAGTGCCCTGAGTATTCATTTGGAAGCTACCAATAAATTATGGCAACTGGTTGAACTTGCAAATACGAAATCTGAAAGTTATTATGATCAGCTGTGTAAATATGGTTTTCCACGCTGCTTTATTTTTTAACTTTGCATTATACCAGTAGGCTTTCAGCATGCATTATAATCTCTTCAAATATTTTGGTAATGATTGACTTCATATACTTTGCTAAATATTCTAGTCTCACAAAAAATGACTACAGCAAAGTGGAAAAGAGCAGATAAATCATTTACTGGGTATAAACTAGAATTTTGGAAAATATCTGTGCTCTTCCCAAATCCCTCCTTTTAAAAGGCAAATTACATGGTGGAAGCTGAAAATTAGCCCATGCCAAATAAGATTTGAACCATTGAAAGATTTTAACCATTCAGGATTGTCCAAAGTTGAGTTAGAATTTTGTTCTCTCTGTTGAGGCCCCAAGAAAGGAAGACAATCATGCGCTATTTCCACGCAGAGGGTGCTGATTGCCCACTGACCTCCCTTTCCTCTCTCCCTTCTTCTTTTCTTTTATTAATAGTTGTGAGGGATTCTCCGGTGGCGCAGTGGTTGAGAGTCCGCCTGCCGATGCAGGGGACACGGGTTTGTGCCCCGGTCCGGGAAGATCCCACGTGCCGCGGAGCGGCTGGGCCCGTGAGCCATGGCCGCTGAGCCTGCGCGTCCGGAGCCTGTGCTCCGCAGCGGGAGAGGCCACAACAGTGAGAGGCCCGCGTATCGAAAAAAAAAAAAAAAAATAGTTGTGAGTGCTGCCCTTGATTGAGTGATGTGTACATTGCTATTTCTAACCAACTGCTTACAGTGTTCACTGTTAAGAGGTATCTCTTTTAACTAATTTTACCTCCCCCAGGTGTTGGATTAAATGATGGGCAGTGGCATTCCGTCTCTTTGTCTGCCAAAAGGAGTTACCTGAGCGTGGTGGTGGATGGCCAAGTGGCTTCTGCATCTCCTTCCCTGGGGCCTGAGCAGATTTATTCAGGGGGCACCTATTATTTTGGAGGTAAGAGAAACGGTTGCTCCATATGGGCAATTGAACCATGTTTGCAGTCACTTGCCCTGTGTCTTAAAGTCATCGTGTTTTAACCAGTGTGAATATTATGGAATAATTTCTCACTTTCTTTGAACATGGAAATGTTGAGTAGATCACGATGATTAATTGTGACCTAAAATGCATTTCTTTGAGGTGGACTGACTTATGTTTATGATTTCTATAATGAGATTGCTTGCAAGTAGACCATGCTCTTCAGTTCTCACTTTCAAATGTTGTTGTATTTTCCTGATGTTGAATGGCCTTACATGTATGTCTTTTTCAGATTTTATGGGCTCATTTCATTGCACTGTTTTCCTGATCATGCCTCTTAGCTTTTCTAGAGCATTCTTTTTGCTTTTCTGCTGCTCAGTGCAGGTCAATATTATGCCAGTGGACAAAAAATCTAACTTAATTAGCCCCAGAAGCCTCTTCTCACTGCTAAGTAATAACGCACTGATATAGTTGATAAAATGAAGGCATTAGCCTTCAGCACCAGGCCATCTCTCTTAAAGGACAAAAACAAATGAAGTGTTTACTTGTCCAGTGGATGTTGGATTGAACTAAAATCTTCAAAAAGCAAACCTTGGAAGTGGAAATGAATCTTTAGCACTGGAAAATTAAAATAAGGCAATACTTAACATTAATTAGAAAGACAAAGTTGTAAAACTGTTAGTAGTAAGACTTATTTTTAATCATGACTTGAGGTGTTTCTTCTTGTTATTTTGAAATGTAATCATGACTTCTGTCTAGAAGCACTTTTGAATTTGGTTGAAAGCCCAGTCTTCATTATTCATCAATAAAATACAAATTCCTTTCTAAGAATTGACAGTAAGTACACAGACCATGAATCATTCATCTTATATTAAGAGTGAACAAACAAACCAAAAAACCCCTACCTAATCCATTACTGTGAAAGGCAGCATAATGCCAACAATCTTAAAAGATATAATTGCTTCCTTTAGGGTGATGTGTTCATTTATAAACAAGTGGTTTATAAAACCTTATGGAATATATGATTGATTTTATAGCAGTCCATAGGAACATGTTCGTTTAATACATGGTAGGATATACAAACAGTCCCTGACTTAGGATTTTTCAACTTTATGATGGTGCGAAGAAATACACATTCAATAGAAACCGTACTTTGAATTTTGATCTTTTCCCAGGCTAGTGACATGTGGAATAATACTCTCTCAGGATGCTGGGCAGTGGCAGGGAGCCACAGCTTCCAGTCACCCACACAATCCCAAGGGTAAACAACAGATACACTTAAACCATTCTGTTTTCACACAACCAATCTGTTTTCACTTTCAGTACAGTATTCAATAAATTACGTGAGGATTCAACACTTTATTATAAAGTAGGGTTTGTGTTAGGTGATTTTGCCCAGCTGTTGGCTAATGTAAGTGTCCTGAGCATGTTTAAGGTAGGCTGGGCTAAGCTATGATGTTTGGCAGGTTGGATATATTAAACACATTTTTGGCTTAGGATATTTTCAACTTACAATGGGTTTATCAAGATGTAACCACATTGTAAGTCAAGGAAGATCTGTGTAGAACAACTTAAGAGCTTTCACTTCAAAGGAAAAGATTTAGAAGCACCAAAAGAGGTAAGAAAAAACCCAAACATTTTGTTAAATGATGCAAAAAAGAGATGATAAAAATAACAGACTGCATAAAAGTGTAAGTAATGAAAATAGACTCATCATTCTTAAATTATTTTAGACCCTTCCTGTTCAGATTTAATGATGCCTACCTATTTTTTGTACAAAATTTTGATTGATTTTTATTCACACTATAATATTTTATAATGAAATATATCACATGTGCACTCTGTAATTTTGCTTGTTTTTATTATGATACATATGATATACACCATTTTAATTAAATGAACTTAATAATTTTTGAATAGTTTTAGATTTACCAGAGGGTTGCAAAGATACACTGGGAGTTGCCAAATAGCCCACACCCAGTTACTTCATATTGTTCACATCTTACATCATATATACAATTTAAAGAATACTAATTATTATTTTTAAAATACACTTCTGCACATGCATTTTCCAGCTTAAGAAAGATAACATTACCAACATCCATTTGTCACTCCATGATCATACCTCTTCATCTCCCCAGGTAACCATCATCTTGAATTGGGGTTTTATGTCTCCTGTCATGTTCTTTATGATTTGACATCTATGAAGGTATTCCTGAGTCCCTAAACAATATACTGTGAAAGCTTCCATAATAAAATTCCAACTTCAGGGCTTTTATTTAAATAACCAATCTTAAGTTTACTTAGGCAACATTTCTGTTTATTCAATCATCTTCTCAATTGGTAACCTTAAGTACCAGAGTATGTTTGATCTTGTCATGAGATTCTATTAATCACTAAGTATATACCTTGCAAGCCCCAGGGCACCCTGACATTTCCAGGGCTGCGAGCAAGGGTCCAAAGGAAAGCAGGAGGCCTCCTGCTGCCACATTTCTCCCTCCTCCTCCCAGCCTTGTGCCTCCAGGACCTGGTAGAGGAGGTCCATCCTTCTGGAAGCCCAAGTAGGGCTTCTGGGGTGGGAATTCTGGATTCTGGGATGGGCTAGAAGGGAGCAGTTTCCAAGTGGGCACATCACCTTCCCCTGTGAGACCCCCTGTTGCCATGGGCAGAATCATGGCTGGAGGAGGGTTAGAATAGGGCCCCCTAAAGGGCAGGACTGGCTCAGGGGCTCATTGTCTGAGTGGTACTGGCAATGGGGTGACCAATGATGCCAAAATCTTGACTCTCCACGCACCAATGCCGAAAAGAAATACGGAGGCAGGGTTTTGGAGGAACGAGAAAAAGTAGCTTTATTCTTTGCCGGGCAAAGAGAGGACACAGCAGCGCCCCCCCACTCCCTGGGAATAGGAGAGATTTTATATCCTAATGAAGGTCTTGCTTTTTTTTTTTCTTTTGCGAAATTTCAAAACAGCCACAGCTGGCGTCAGGCAACCTGGTAACTGGGGTTGGTCTTTTCTGAAGTTATTGGCCGGTGACCTTCTTTCTGAAACAAAGAATGCTACAAGGGAGTGTAAGGGCAGAAGAAAGCCAGGTGCAGAGTGTAATTCATACGGAGTCAGAGAGTACTCAGCTTCGTGAAGGAGAAGTCCAGCTACAAGTGTTTGTTAGTAGTAACAGCTAAAGAATAACCAAGACTGCTTAACTCTTTCCGGCCTGTTTATGTTGTTTCCCAGCCTGTTCACTGTTTCCTTATTTTCCTTGTTTATCAGAAAATAGAAGTCTCATTTTTATTTAAGAGAAGTCTTATTTCTGTTTTTGCTGCACCAGCAGCTCTCCCGTTTTAGCACTGAAAGCCTGGAGTCCTGGGAACAGCCTCCCTGCTTCCCACCCCCAGAGCAAACTTGGCGGTTGGTCACCCTAGAAAACCTTCTCCGCCGTGTGGATGAGAGTCCCCTTTACTCCTAGGATCTGTTTTATCTAGATGGAGGGCTTTTTTTAGGTAGTTAATTTTGGGGCAGTCTGTCCCACCAGCCTGGGTTGTATTTGCTTTCTGTGTCAGTCTTGAGTGTGACTATTGAGAGAGCGGGCTGCCCGGAACTCACAGCATTCTGCATCTACTGCCGCACGCCACTCTTTGCCCATCATTGTTTACGTTTTCTCCCTCCTCAAATGTATGCCTTTCAAAAACTTACTGAGGTCAGCTTTTATCATTTATAAACTATAAAATTTAAATCTGGGTTCTCCAGATTGAGGATGGAGGAAAGTCTAACTTCTGTGTATTCCCCTATGCAATCTTTGTGCGATTGAATAACACACCGTGTAGCACAAGCTAGAGATACTAGACTGTGTGCAGAATCCTCACACTCCTGCTTGTATAAATCAGACATTATCCATCCAGTGAACTGGCTACACCACCCTGAAGTCAAACCCGACATCTTACTTCTGGTACGTGCAGTGATCATTTATCTGCCATCTCAGAGGTGCTTAACATGCTGCCTGCCTCTAGTAATGGATCCATCCATTAATTCAGCATGAAAGCATTCCCTAGATATCTTCATATTTTAGAACTTTCATCCCAAACCAGTTCAGTGCTGAATTTCTCTCTGCTGTTGCGTTATATTAACCTGTGGATGTCTGTTATCATAGGCTAATGAGACTCACCTGGGTTGAACCCTACTTTGTTCTTTAGAATCTCTTGCTTATTAAACATTGTAGCCAGGAATGTGAAGGGCCTCATAATATGACCGCTGTGCTCTCTGTAAAGTTCCATGACCTCTCCTTGTGACTGTGAGTTTGCTTAGTTTTGTTCCCTATAGAGGCATACCACACAATTTATTTTATTCTGAAATAGTTTGAAATGTGTCAGGAAACACCACCTGGAGAAAAGGAGATTAGCAGCGCTGTTTATATTCCTGGCATATTGTAGCTGCCCCCAAATATTATTGAACTGCTATCCTCTCGGGTTTTATTTTAACATTCTTAATTGGTTAATAAGTCATCTAGAAAACACATCCAGATTATGGTAACTGTACCCTATACCACAGAAGAATTTTAAGCACTGAAAGTGTGTGTAGAACCATGTACAATTAACTGATACTGAAAAAACTTTCATCCCCTTTTCTTGATATATTAAATTTAAAATTTCAGTCTCCATTGCTTAAAATATAATATTTCAGTGTGCCTGATAACAGTTTTAAGTATGAATCCTGGCCTTTCCTTGCTGGGTAAAAGTATTTTGTTAGGAAAAAAAAGCATTAAGGAGAAACATCCTCTGTCAAAATATTTAATTATAATGGAAATTCCCCGGTAGAAAACTAGCATGGATTGTACAGGAGTTAGGGAATTGCTGATTCATTTCTTATTCTTTGAAATTATATTAGTGGTTGACAACCATAACAGCTAAGAAAGATTAATGAAAAATACATAAGTATAATATATGTGTTCATACTCCATAAAATTGTTTATTTCACTTGGATAGAGAAACACTGAGAACATCATTAAACCCCAGACAGAAATGGTTAATATTATAGTTCTTTATTATTTAAATAATTAGAAACAGGTCTTAGATAAGTGTTAGAAAAAAAATCAATATAAATGGAACACTCCTTTATGAGGCAGAGAATAAATAAAGTCAAACAATGAAATGTTTTTGACATTAAGCCATTATGATTTATTAAAATGCATGTATATGTGGCTCTTATATGCATATGAAAAGTATTTAATTACATAAATAGTTGTAATTTTATTCCAAGTCGTCGTAACTCCTTTTCCGAATAGCTTAAACACAGAAGTATTTCAGCATTATTGATTTATCTTTTCTTGTCTACAGTGCATGCTTTCATCCTTTATGCTCTTCTTTTTGCATCCCAAAAGACTAAGTTCCTGTGTTTGAGTTATATATAATTTAATACTGCTGAATGACATGTTCAGGATACTGGAGCTGATCTGTGTATTTCTAAAGTTGGGATCAAGTTAGTATCCTTGCACATAATTATTATAACAGTAGTAATTTCCTATGAATCCTATGGTAATAAAGAGAAATACGTTTGTATGAATTGCTATGTGTAATTTAGATCAAATGAATGATGACTGCAGTAGGCTTTCGCCTCCATTTCAATTTAATAATCAAATGCCTACTTTAAACATTTTTTTAGTGAAGATACTGAGTCCTGATTCATTATGATGTATCCTGATCAACTTTGTATTGTTTTGTTTTTATCAGGTTGTCCTGACAACAGCTTTGGATCCAAATGTAAAAGTCCACTTGGTGGGTTTCAGGGATGTATGAGACGCATTTCTATCAATCACAAGATGGTAGATCTGATTTCAGTTCAGCAGGAGTCCCTTGGGAACTTCAGCGACCTTCAGATAGACTCATGTGGAATCACAGACAGGTAAAGGCAATCTCACTTCTCTATTTTGACCTGTCCATTTTCAAACTTTTGACAGCAGATTGAAATTTGTATGTAAAACAAACATTTTTCTCTCCTTTTTCTTACCATCATCTGTTCCACAGGAAAGAGATAATATTCACATTAGAAATAAGAAAATATTCTTTTAGTTTTATACTTCATATTTCCAGTGATAAAATTTAACTAGAAGACATGTGACCATGTTATTTATATGTACAAATAGCTACCAGTTCACAAAAGGTGATGTTGATGCTGCTATAATTTTCGAGGGGTATAAATGTATCAAAAATATATCATTAAACGCAATAGCTTAGGAAACCCTAACAGTAATCTAGACCATCAGGTACCAGTAAATCAGAGACCTATGTGGTCAGTTATCCAACTGGCTTTTGCTTCCATGACAGCTGAATAATATTTCAGAGGCATAGGAATTTAACTGGTTGCTATGGTCCTGATGTGTACCTTGAAGAACCCATTACTATCTTCTCTGCAGGGAAAATGAAGAGGAAACTCCCTGTGAAAAAGTTTGGAGCCGTAGTGTTGATAAAGGTGTGAGGATGATCCAGTAGTTTCAATAGGAACTCCAGTACAGGGCATGCTAGTGCAAGCTTTGGGCGTTCATTGCAGAGGACAAGTAACTTTTAATATAATAATTGATAGTTAATAATTTTAAAGTATTTTTAGGCATGGGCAACTATAGCCAAATAATCTTGCCAGTCATCAAGGCAGTTATTTTTAATTATTGAGTTCAGTGGAATGTCATAGCCTTTCCAGATTAAAAAAAATCAAGCAATGTGACAAACTTAACCCCAACCGTGTAGTAGTGTTCAATATATATTTTGAGCAAACAGATAAATTCTGAGGTTTTTTAACTTTTTTTTTTTCATTTTTGGCCGCGTGGGGTCTTCATTGCTGCGCGCGGGCTTTCTCTGGTTGCAGTGATGAGTGGGGGCTACTCTTCATTGCGGTGTGTGGGCTTCTCATTGCAGTAACTTCTTTTGTTGCGGAGCACGGGCTCTAGGTGCGTAGGCTTCAGTAGTTGCAGCATGCGGGCTCAGTAGCTGAGGCTCGCGGGCTCTAGAGCGCAGGCTCAGTAGCTGTGGCGCACAGGCTTAGTTGCTCCGTGGCATGTGGGATCTTCCCAGACCAAGGCTCGAACCCATGTCCCCTGCATTGGCAGGCAGATTCTTAACCACTGCGCCACCAGGGAAGTCCCAAATTCTGAGTTTTAAAAATAACTTTTTATTTGTATGAAACATTTTATCAACATAAACACACATCTATTATATCTGAAGACCATTTATCAATGTCTGTTGATCCTGTTTTGAACACTAGTAGATATTATTCTATGTGTAGAAAAAAATAATTATAATCTTATTTAGCAATGGATTAGAAGGCCATCATTTCCTCTCTATGAATATGTGTTTATTTAACTCAATTTGTAGAGAAAATAATAGTTTAATGAAAGATGATAAAGGGAGAATTGAGACGATAAACCTCAATTGGCTTGATTTGGGGAATAAATGACAGTGACCATCTCCGTAATTACAGCCACGGCAGCTCAGGAACGTTAATCCTGATTTTGGGGAAGCCCTGTAGCAAGGCTCCTTGGGCCAGCTCTCTTGAGGTGGGTCTCACTCACAGAAGCAGGGAGCCCTCACCCTCAATGGGTGGGGAGGTTCGGTCATCCACACTGTGAGTGATGGTCATTTTGACCGTCTCAGATCGCAGAACGTTCTTTTGGTACAGGTAGACCCACACGTCTCCAACGTGGGTTTCTCTGAAGCTGCCATTTACACAAGGAATCCATCTTGCCTGCTTTCCGGAGGTGCACGCTTGTAAAACAGAGCATGATACAGCACAGTAGGAGAATTATGCTTTCGGTACCACACCTTAAAAACGCTTTTCAGAAGTAGCAAATTATGGATAGTTCTTGACTATACAGTTTTTAAAGAAAATTTTAGGCTAATGGTAACCCTGGAAATCTTAAAAATAACAGCAAAAACCAACGTATCTTTTATATTTGTATACCTTTTAAACTTCCAAAAGTATCTCTAAGTTCATTCCATTCTCTTATATTCAGAAGAAAATATGTATCCACCTGTCTTGGTCGTATATGCTATACCTGTTGACATAGCTTCCAAAGCATTATTAAATAGAAACTTAAAGGAAACCCTGTTTAGTAGGTTGTATTCTAACTTAACATGAATTAGTATTTAGGTGTGTGTGTGTGTGTGAGTGACTTGTGTAGGGTGATGTGAGTGAGTGAAGGGCCTGGCAATGTGTCTGAATGACCTTACAAGTGTGTGTGTAGGGATGGTGTGGCTGTGTGTGAGCGTGTGCATGTGTGAGTGTACACATGCATGGGTTAATGCTTGAGGACTTGTGTCATTGTGTGTGTCATGACTTGTATGAGTATGTAGGGCGATTTTGGATATGTGCGTGAGCTTACGCATTGTGTGAGAGACTTGTGCAATGACTCTGTTCTAAAATTTATTTTAAATAAATAAATTAATATGTATTTAAATTAATCTTCACAAAAACCCTTAGAACCTGTTCTTAGAGTGTTTGTTTCTTGTAAACATGGAAATAGATGCACAGAGCGGTTAAGTAAGTTGGCTAAGCGGACATGGCTAAAGGCAGAGCCCAGCATCGGATCTAAGCCCCTTGGTTCCAGGAAGTCCCCCTGCGTGCTACCTGCCATGTTGTACCGCTTCCCTGGGTGCACATCAACATGTATTGCGGTTCATGCTTAATCTATGTAGATTAAACACAGAATTTATGGCTTAATAAATTGCATTTGAAACCAGCAGGAACATTAAAAATATATTTAAAAATCTGACAGACGGAATTCCCTAGTGGTCCAGTGGTTAGGACTCCGTGCTTTCACTGCCGAAGGGCCAGGTTCGATCCTTTTTTGGGGAACTAAGATCCTGCAAGCCATGAGGCACAGCCAAAAAAAAAACATCTGACAGAATCTTAAACAATGTAGTTCTCTTTCTACTGTAACTAACTTTAAGTTGGATCAAACCTACACATAAAGGTGTACATAAATTTACATACGTGCTCACACTCACACCCACACAGTCATTTACACACATTCTTTATGTGTAAACTAATGTCATTGTACAAATCTCCCACACACATCTATACATGCATATACTCACATATCTCAAAGCCACTTGTCACACACAGTCTACACATAGACACACACACACACACACACACACACACCTCCTCGCTCATTCATCCATACACAAGCACACTCACACACCTACTCTCATAGACCCATAGCATCTTTACACACGCACCTGCACACTCATAAGATCATTCCTATACTCTTTACACACTCACACCTTTCTTACTCACAGACACAGACACACACACACACTCATCTAGAAGCCCTCCCCTTGTCCTCTGTGGACCTGCAAGGAAATCTGGGTGGGGGCTGACTGAGGCTGATGGCCATCAGTCCCTCGATGGAGGTGAGGATAGAACTGCAAAGGGAGCTGTCCTCTATGTCCCCATGTCTTGGGGCAGAAACCCAAGTGGGAGTGGGGTAGGGGTGACAATTGTTAAGGGCATAAATATTTATTAAGTTGCTTGGACCTAAACCACTTATTAAGCAATAGTATTAAGGAAATCTTTTGATATCAACTTTTTAAGAATATCAACTGGGGCTTCCCTGGTGGCGCAGTGGTTAAGAATCCACCTGCCTATGCAGGGGACATGGGTTCAAGCCCTGGTCCAGGAAGATCCCACATGCCATGGAGCAACTAAGCCTGTGCACCACCACTACTGAGCCTGCGCTCTAGAGCCTGTAGGCCACAACAACTGATCCCACATGCCACAACTACGGAAGCCTGTGTGCCTAGAGCCCGTGCTCCGTAACAAGAGAAGCCTGCGCCCTGCAACGAAGAGTAGCCCCCACTCACCGCAACTAGAGAAAACCCGCACACAGCAACAAAGACCCAACACAGCCATAAATAAATAAAATCATACACGCCACTTCAGTTTGGGGCATGTTGATATATTCATTTGTTTATGTTCTACTTTGTGTTGAAATGACTCTCAGGGAGAAAAGTATAAAAGATAATTGTTTAAAACCTTTAGTGAGAATCAGTACGTCACTATACAATGTAATTTGCCATAGGTTACTAGTAGTCAAATAGAACTACTATATGATGAATTTAAATAAAATCCACAATCCAGTCTTTCACATTGTAATTAAAAAATATGAAAAGTCAAGTCTAACAGGAATCTAGGAAAATGGACACAGTATCTTTTGCAGCAGATCAAATAGAAACAGTGCATGTATCCCAATAGATTCATTCTTTAGAATTTTAGGTGTAGTCACTTATATCTGCCCCCTTTTAAAACATTGTTCTAGGTCTGTTAAAGAATAGCCTTCTCTGTCCTTTTCTTTTCTGATTACCAATTAGAATTGTTTTTGTTTTAATTTTATTTTTAAAATTACCTCTTTCTTCTAGATTGTTACTGATTTGAAATGCTTAAAAAATTAAATACCTGTTTAAATATTCTTTGAATAGATTCTTGTGAATCTATAAAAATGCTAAAATACATATAAATTTAATTGGCATGGAGAGATGCCCATTATTTATTTTTGAATCCTTAAAAAGGTTGTAAAGTAGCGTGTACTTTATGATTACATTTGTGAACATAATACATTATACACACACACATATATGTTTATAGTGGTAATGTTTATATATTGAAATTATAAATTATATTTCTTCTCTATTGTTTCCTATATTGTTTGATTTCTGTACAGTGCATATCTATTTTTTATAATCAGGAAAAGCAGTAACATTATTTTCAGTTAAAATTGGGAAAATCCTAAAAGCAAAACATGAAGTTCCCAGTCTTAGTTTTAAAAGAGGAGGTGGCAGAAACTTCATCAAGAATATATTCTTGACAGGTTTTGTAATTTATTTATTTTTTTATTCTGGGGTGAATGAGAGCATTGGTCTCAATATAACTTTTAATTTAAATTCTAAAAAGCATCAGTTATTTGATCAGGGCTATTTGAGTTGATACCAGAAGCTCTTCAACTTTTTTGTCCAGGGTACCTTAATGTGTTTCAGTAATTTTTTCACAGTGTCCTAAGCCAAAAGATATAACTAACATTTTCATTTAAACAGTGGCTTAGTTCCAGGCAACTTTACAAGTGTTTATGTCCTAACAATTTATTTATTTATTTAGTTTAGTTAATTAGTTAATTTATTTATTTTTGGATCTTCGTTGCTGTGCGTGGGCTTTCTGTAGTTGAGGTGCGCAGGCTTCTCATCGTGGTGGCTTCTCTTGTTCCAGAGCACAGGCTCTCTGTGTGTGGGCTTCAGTAGTTGTGGCTTGTGGGGTCTAGAGCGCAGACTCAGTAGTTGTGGCGCACGGGCTTAGTTGCTCTGCAGCATGTAGGATCTTCCTGGACCAGGGCTTGAACCCGTGTCCCCTGCCTTGGCAGGTGGATTCTCAACCACTGTGCCACCAGGGAAGCCCTGTCCTAACAATTTAGAAACCTTTTAAAAAGTAATTTATATGTATATTACTTTTATATATTTTTTAAATTATATATATAAAATTTGAAAAATATTTTAAGTTTATTTTTAATGTAGTGTACAACCTTTCAAAGCTTGGGATCAGATCGGACACTGCTACCCTTACTTTTGTTCAACTTGATTTCACATGGTGTTACTTTTTAACAACTACTAAGACTCCAGCTTCTCAAAGATAGGACATGATTAAGTGGAATGTATTACTATTTAATGTTAAAATTTAACTACCTCAAGCCAATAAGTTGCGCAGTGCTGGACAGATGTCGAGTATGCCTGTATTTCTCTTAAAAATTTAAAATATCCTGGGAGCCCCTGTGATTTTGATTCAGCATCCTAATGCACCCTGACCCACTGCTTGGAGTTTGTGCATCTATACTGTGCATCTTCAACATTCCTGGATGTATACACCAAGTGAATAGAGATGTCCCTCCCTCCCACTTCCTTCTTTCCTTCTCTCTTCTTTATTCCCTCTTCCTTTAAATATTCAATATAGTAAATCAGTATGATTAAATGTTGTTATTTTATGTGAACTATTGATGTTTCTGGCAACATACTGCATTAGTGTTGTGTCACTAGGGAAAAGAAAGGGCTATGGTATAGCACGACGTGTTGAAAATTTAGCAGTCACAGCTACCTGAGAATTGGTTGAAACCTGATGAATTTATTGACCTGAGGTTTAGTTTTGTGATTAAGGTACCATAACGACAAATGGAATGACCGTTAGTCACACTGTATTTACTCTTTAGGTTACTGTTGACATTCTTCTTTCACATGATCATGTATACATTGGCAGTATTTTGTGATTTCTCAAAATGAATAGTAGTAATTGTATCTGCACCTTCTTTTAGGTGTTTGCCCAACTATTGCGAACACGGTGGTCAATGTTCCCAGACCTGGGACACCTTTCACTGCAACTGTACAAACACTGGATACAGGGGAGCAACTTGCCACAACTGTAAGCCACACACACCTGTGGTTCTTTCCTCTGTCCTGATTCCCTTATTTATTTCCCTTTTTTGTTGTTGTTGTGGGTATATATATCCATGTGTGTACAACCCTGGATCTTATTAGCATTCCGTTGATTTCTAGTTTATTTTTAGTCCACACTTTTCATAAAGTAGTCAGGGTAGCTTACAGAAGCACATAAAATAAAGCAAGACAGAAAAGAGTAAGAGAGCTGGTAAGGGGAAAACACGTGTAGAAAACAAAGGTAGCTAAGGATAAGCATAAAATACAGTGCAGAATAGGTGATCCTTCAATTCTCTTGCAACTCCATTAATAAGGATGATGAGAATAAGGATGGTAGAAATGGAATTAATCATAATAGTTAATTTTATTGAGTATTTTCTAAATGCCAGGTACTGCTCTAGTATTTTACATGTCCCAACTTATTTAATTCTGCTGACCACCTTACTAGGTGGGTGTAGTCATTGTTATTATCCCTAGTTTACTAGGTTACAGGGAGAGATTAATCACCATGCCCAGAAGCTCCTGGAATAGTTGAGGCACAGTGAGAATGTGAACCCTTGCAATTATGCTCCAGAGGCTGGGACCACAACCAAATACTCTTTTCCTGTGTTAGAAGCCGTTCATTTTTTTCCTGGTGAAAAGTTTTGCATGTGTCATAAGACTCATGTCATTTTCTTGTCTACTTGTTCAGGACGTGGGATGGGGAGACCCAAATGCCCATTTTTTCCTTCCCATTTTTTCATATTGTTGCTGACATTGCTGAGCAGCTTAACTCTCAGTACTATTGGCCCGTAGCCATGACTTCAGGCAAGGGCGCTAGGTGCAGTCCCACTCTCGTCTCTTCACTGTGCACTGCTTTGTACTCCTGCTGGAGTTGAGATTGGAATGCTGGGCTCCCACCCCTGGAGGCTCCACAAGGGACTCTCAGAAGTCTTGCCTCAGTGCTGGAAAGGGCGTGAGCAGGGGCCGCGGGACCTTCTGGCCTCACCCTCGTGCCTTCACCACTGCAGCCAGTCTTTCCTGGGGCATCAGCTTGTATGGGTTGGAGTGCCTCTTAAGAACAGGAAGAACGTGTGCTGACACTCAAGCCAGGGCCAAGTCACTTGTCCCAAGTCACCAGCAGCAAAGAGACGGTGTATTTTAATTCTTCATATCCGGTATCATCCCAATTATAGTAACTAACTCAAAACAGAAAGCTAATAGAATGTGTTTTAATTGACTATTTGTTTATTTTCAACTGTTATCAATGACTAAATACAAATATAAACACAAACATCTCTGAGCCCAAAAAATCAGATGGTGAATAAATAATATATTTTCATCTGTGGCCCACAATTTGATCCAATCATTAAGTTAATTTATTAGGTTCTTGAGCAGGTAGTCTAAAGGGAGCCGAAGGGTTTTGCCAATGACCATTCTGGGAAATGGGGCCAGGATGACAAACCCAATTATAATGAAGCCATCAGTATCGTTAGCCTGAGTTGAGGGAGGGTGAGTGATGGGGGTCTTTTAGAAGGTTTTACTAGAAAATAATATGTTAAACAGTCATGTTATAAAAAGCCAAGTAATACACATAAAGCAAAAGTACTCCCAATAACCCTCATGCAATTGTGTATCCTTTCTAATACCAGCCCTCTCTGCAAAGTTATGTTGATATCCCAGCCTCTTTCAAAGAATTTATCAACGCATGTATGCGCGTATAGTAATATATAAATGAACCATTTTCATATGTCCACTTCACTGCACAAAATACAAATGTGACTAGAAACCAATCCATCTTATATTTCTGTCTGTGTAATATACAATAGCCATAAAATAAAACCAAGAAACTGTGGAGGAGTAGAGAAGTTAATATGTATGATTATCTGAAGTCTCTGTAACATTGAGAAAATTAGTTACATTATTTCATATGATCTAAAAACTCATTAACATAATTTTGAAAATTTAGAATAGATCAAGGAATGATATTCAGGGGATGGTTTATTTCTCATTTCACAAAATTAAAAGCTTGATGGAAATCACCATTCCATTTGGCCAAGTGTTCAATGAGATGAGTGCATCATATACGGTTGTTAATATCAAACCTTGTACATGGCAAATATATAATTGTGTAATTAAAAACATCCAATTATGGATCAAAACACACTGAGATCACCTGAGGGCATATATTTTATATTTCTTCTGCTTTGAAGTTTAATTATCTTAAATTCTTATTACAGAGCATTAGAGAAAGTTTCTTATGTAAATTACTTTTAAAATTATTCATGAGAAGCTTTGTAAATCCTATTTGTTTTATGGAAAAAAGGATTTTACCTATAGATAATTTTACGTGAGAAAGGAGACTAGTTAACGCATTATTTAAAACTTTTCTATTGCATAATTTTTGAATAACAGCAGATTATTTAAGGAGATTACACTATTGTGCTTCACATGTTAGGTTATTACAAGGTGATACTAGAATTAGAAATCCCAAAATGGTTGTCAAAAGATCCATTTGGATGCATGTCCAAAATGGAAGTCACATTATACTTATAAGGATCTTAACATTTAAAACACCTACCATCTCCTTTGTTGTTTTACCTAATGTAAAAATGAACTAAATTTTTATTCTCATATTCCTTTAATCATAAAAAGAAATGCCATAAAATACAATCTCATTCTTCCTTTTTTCTATCTAACCTTCTTTCAGCCATAATAATTTAAAAAATGAGTATTGTTTTAAAGTGTGTGTTACCTTTTCTCCTGGTCAGTAATGTACATACGAATTTCAAGACTTGGAGTACTCTGTGTCCAAATTAAAATTAAAGAAATTAATTTTATACTATTTCACTTATGATGATACTTTTTTTTTTTTTTTTTACAGCTATCTATGAGCAGTCATGTGAAGCCTATAAGCATAGAGGAAATACTTCAGGATTTTACTATATAGATGCAGATGGAAGTGGTCCCCTGGAACCATTTCTTCTATATTGCAATATGACTGGTGAGTTAATCAATTTTCATTTAATAGTTAAATTTTAAACACACAAAATTAAAATGAAACAAGTGGTTGACATAATTTGCAACTTGATTAAAATGTATATTGTTCAGTAGAAGAACTTAAAGTAAATCTTTAAAAAATAGTTTAATGGTGGTGATTTAAAATGTCATTATTTTCTATGCATGTGGTATCTGTGTAGAACATCTAATAATAAATGTATCTTATTAAGTCCCAAAACAAAAAGGATAGACTTTATTCCTCTTAGAAGATTGATACACACCATATGATTTCACTTATAAGTAGAATCTAGAAAACAAAACAAATGAACAAACATAACAAAAGAGAAACAGACTCACAGATACGGAGAACAAACAGGTGGTAGCCCAAGGGGAGGGGAGTAGGGGGATGAAAAGAAAAAAAAAATGTAACAACTGTGGTAATGAATGCTAATTAGCTTGTTTATGGTGAGCATTTCACAATATATATTCATATGAAACCATCACATTACATGCCATAAATATATACAATTTTTGCCAACATAAAGTGGAAAAATATTTTAAATAATAATAATAAAAGAAAAAAGGTTGATACACATGAAAGCTTTGAAAATATTTACTTTTTAAATTTGGGCATAAATGAATTTTATTCTTGAATTCTTTACTTACATAAACTTAAAGAGGAATTAATAGTCTTGGAATATGTGTTTGATTAAATTCAACATCCATTCATGATAAAGAGAAAATGAAAGCTCAGTAAATTACCAATAGAAGAAAATTTACTTAATTTGTTAAAGAGGACCCATAAAAAAATCTACAGCACATATCACAGTTTATTGTGAAATATTGCAAACTTTACCCCTGTTACCAACATTAACACAAAGATGCCTGCTATTATCATTCTGTTCACCGTTGTTTTGGAGGTCCTAGCCAGTGCAATAAAGCAAGAGAAAGAAATGAAAGATATATGTACTGGAAAGGAAGAACTATGACTCTCATTATTTGTAGATGGCCAGGTTATGTATTGAGAGTATTCTCAACAATCTACAGACTAACTATTAAAAGTTAGGATGATCACTAGATATCAAGTTAATGTAAAAATTAATTTCATTTTTGTATACCAGCAATTAAAATGAAATTTTAGAAGATTCTATTTTCAGTAGTATCAAAAACCTCAAATACATGGTAATAAATCTTAAAAAAGATGTGTACAACTTTTATACAGATAAGTGTGAAATACTCTTGAGATAAATTAAATCCTAAATAAGTGGAGAAATATGAAAGTTTCCTTGACTGGAAAACTCAATACGGTGGTGTAAACGTCAGTTCTTCCCAACTAGGTATTGATTCAGTGCAAACCTTAATTAAAATTTCGGCAGTGTGTTTGTTCGTTGGTGTAATTTTTTTTGTGAAAATTGGCAAGCAGATTCTACAATTTATCAGTAAATTTGAAGGGACAAGAAGAACCAAATCAGTCTTAAAGAGTAAAGTTGGAGGACTCAACTCTACCAGATATAATATAGACATTATATTGATAGGCTAAGTAAAACAGCATGTAATTGACACAAGGATAGACAAATGGACCAATGAAGCAACGTAGAGAATCTATAAACAGACTCCCTCATATATGGATAGTTGAGTCATTGCAAAGGTGGCACTGATGAACAGTGAAGGAAAGATGGTCTTTTCAACAAGTGGTGCTGGGGAAAATTGTCTGTAAATATTGTAAAAAAGACTGTTGATCCCTTCACCGTCAAACACAAATAGATTCTAGATGAATCGTGCAGTCCAGTGTAGTGGCCACTAGCAACAAATGCCTATTTAGATTCACATTTAATTAAAATTAATATAACTAAGTGACTTGAAACAAATTTTGCAAGTTTAAGTTAATTCATTAAAATAAGATTAAATTAAAAGCCAATTCCTCAGTCTCACTAGCCACATTTTAACTACTCCATAGCCATCTAGTCCATCATTGGAAAAAGTTTACATTGGATAGCGCTGTGTCAGGAAGTCAGCATTTCATGGAGCAAAATAAGCAGAAAAAAGGAAATATGAAATTGAAGCAGGAGGCTTGGCAGAGGAGGATTTACTACTTAAAATCTGGCAGTGAATATCTAGGGAAAGAGCCTTCCGGGCAGAGGAAATAGGAAGTGCTAAGTCCTGATAGAGGTGATCTCACCAGGTGTGTTCAGAAAACAGCAGCAGATAAAGTGTGACTGGAGTATGGTGAGTAATCTGGGAGTAGTAGGAGAGCAAGAGGGAATCAAGTGGGCGGGGGCAGGAGAGGAAGAGTCATGGGTCCTTACAACGTGTAAGGTCTCTGGCTTTTACCCTGAATGAGCTGAGAAGACATTGGAGAGTTTTAAGCAATGGTAGATGCAATCTGACTTCCTCTAATAAAATCATGATTGCTCCTGTGTTGGGAAATGCCTGTCTAGGAGCAGGGGTAGAAAGGAGTTAGAAAATGTGTGTGTGTGTGTGTGTGTGTGTGTGTGTGTGTGTACCAAATACGTACATACATATAGATAAGATGTATATGTGTAATAGGAGTTTGGAAGTCTGTTTGGAGACCAAGTTCAAGTAACGCAAGAATCCAGGCAAGAGCTGGAGATGGTGGGTTGTACTGGATGATACAATGTAGACGGTGGACAGAGATTAAATTTTCTCATTGAATATGTGTGAGGAATGAGAAAACAAAAGGAACCAAAAAACTAACACCACATTTTTGGCTTGGGAAAATGGGAGTGATTAAGTTGCCATTATTTGAGATGTGGTCAGAAAAGGTTTGAAGGGAAAGATAACGAGCTCAGTTTTACACATTTTGAGTTTGAGATGTCTGTTACACATTCAGATGTGGAACTGAGAAGCCAGTTGAATATGGGAGCAACAGTTCCTTTGTATTAATATGTAATTCTGAAAACTGCAGGGTAGTGGTAAAACCTTGGCCACACATATTCGGGAAAATTACTATAGAATGTGTCTTAGAGATTTTTCATATAACACAACCAGGTGGCTTCTGTTTGCTGTCACCATCGTTGAGGACGCTACCTGTCTTAGTCTGTTTAGTGTTGTAGCAGAATGCCACAGACTGGGTAGCTTATAAACAATAGAAATATTTCTCACAGTTTTAGAGGATGGGAAGTCCTAGGTCATGGTGCCAGCATCGTCAGGTGAGGGCTGCCTTCCAGATTTCAGACTTCTTGTATCTTCACATGATAGAAGGAGCTCTGTGGGGTCTCTTTTATAAGAGCACTAATTCCATTCATGAGGGCTCCTCCCTCTTGACCTCATGACCTCCCAGAGGTGCCACCTACTAAAACCATTACCTTTGGGGGTTAGTGATTCAACATATGAATTTTAGTGGGGGACACAAACATTCAGACCAGAGCACCACTCGAAATGTCAAAGCAACCTGAGACAGCTGATGACTCTTACATGTTTATCTCCTCAATGAAATTCCCCAGTCGGCACAGCACCGACTTCCAGGTAGTGCCCTGAGGCCGGAGGGTTGGGGTGAGACGATAAAATCAGTGTTTTTAAAAATCTCCCCATTTGATGCTTTTGTGCACCCAGGTTTGGGAGCAGCTGTTTTCGACCTGTGGTTCTCAACCTTTAGAGAACACCCCGCTCTATTATGTGAGAATTGAACATAATAAATGTGAGAAGACTTCACAGAGAGAAAAGGAAAATTTTGCAAATGAAAGATATGAATTTAAGTGTCAAATGACTTTCTGATTTTTTCTGTTTGTGTTGTGAGGGAGATTTAAGTCTATCACTGCATCCCTGTGAATCCTGCATTCCCACAAGAGCACCCTGAACTATTCACATGCACATGCTTTATGAAGTTTTGATTCTGCCATTCAGATGCCTCTAAGTATCTGTAATCTTTAAAGCTTTAAGTAATATCACACACACACACACACACACAGAGTTCTCATTATCTGTGATAGTAATGTTCTGTAAAGTAACCACAGACACTTGAATTAGTGAATACTGAACCATTGCTCCCAGGGAATTACAGTAAGATTAGGTTCCTGCATGCCTCTGGTCATAGTATTCTCATCAACTGATCAATATATAACCTTGTTTTACTAGTGTTTCAGACTAAAGACACCTTATTTAACACATACTGTTGATTCATTAACATTGAACTCACAACCAGTAGCACCAGAACTCTTACCTGAAGGAAGCTTTTCTATCACATGTGTTCTCAGAAGGCACATCACAGCCTTCTTGTGCTTGGGAACCCTGGACAGCTCTTCAGCTCTATGCTTGGAGGCCACTTTAAATAGTGAAATCATCAAGCACAAAGACCATGGCACAAAGAGGATACGTGTTTACAGTCTGAGAGCTGAAGCAAGGAGTCAGAGTGTGGCTCTGTTCAACTTCAGCTGGGCAGCTGCAATTCATATTGGGCAACTCGGTTTTTTTGCTTTGTGTCTACAGACATTACAAGAGCACCTCAAGAACTGATTTTGGGATTCATATAAATTTTAGGGAGTAGGCAGATTCACAAATGATGAGAATCTGCAGATAATGAGGATGGACTGTATACACACACATGCATGCCTACATTATGTTTATTATGCATAATAATTCAGTGATTTATAGGCCGTGTACATTTTTCATGACCATCTCAATGGTAGGGAAATTATTAATTTCATTTTATTGAATGAATTATTTCATTTCTATTAAATCAACATTTACCTTGTCATATTACTAATATGCCTATTTTAGTTACCTGAGTCTCACACCTCAACCCTGCAGTTCGAAGCAGTGGATTTATGTATATACACACACAGAGGTTAAAGGTGCTTTAGCAAAATTATCAAAAAGTATTGATGAAAAAGAGGACATTCACAAACCTTAAAGCCATTTGAAGAGCAAGCAGTGGACAGAGACACAGATAATCCAGTTAGGAAACAGGGAAGTATCTTCAGAAGCTCCGGAATATTGAAACATATTCAAACAAAAGTGACAGTCCCAGAGTGTAACAACCCAGTG